TCCATCGATGAACATTTGGGTTGTTTACACCTTTGGGTCACCGTAAATAGTACTGGTATGAATATTTCTGTGGAGCTATTTGCTTCAGTGGGTGTTTTCAATTCTTCTGGGTGTATACTGTTAAAGAAAACCAGACTCTGACAGTAACTCAAGGAGTAAAAACAGATTTTATTCAGGAAGTGTTGCAATAGGGAAAAGACACCTCAGTATAGAACTGGGCTCAGTTACAAAACAGCATAAGCAAGAGGAGATTTATAGCAAAGGAGCCGGATGAAGGGCAGGGGAAAGTGGGGAGGATTGAATGGAAGTTTCCTAAAAGGAAATACCAGGTGTAAGGGCTAAATTCTGGCCAAACCAGCTGGACAGGATTCTTAACTGAAGGCAGACCAGGGTGATCAGATATTAAAGATGGGGGATGAAGAATTTCTTCAGATATCCAGATAGGGGTTCTCTTTTATCTGACCTAGCTGGATTCTTGCTACGACTGGTTGATGCCACAAGACAAATGCCAAAGTAGATGCTGAGAGGGCTTAGAGGAGCCTGACTAAAGTTAAGTCAAGGAGACAGTCTTTGTCAGTAACCAGGAGTGGAATTGCTGGGTCAAATGGTACCTTTCTGCTTGCATATTTGTGGAATCAAACTGTTTTCCACAGTGGCTGAGACATTTTACATACTGACAGAAACATATGCCAGTTTCGATTTCTCCATATCCTCCACATTTGTTTGTTTTTGATTGTAACCATCCTAGCAGGTATGAAGTGCTATCTCATTGGGGTTTTGATTTGCATTTCCCTGATGGCTACTGATATTGATTGGCCATTTGTAGATATTCTTTGGAGAAATGTCGATTCAAGTCGTTTGCCTGTTTTTAAATTGGGTTGTTTGTCTTTTTGTTGTTTAAGTAATAAGTTCTTTATGTATTCTGGATACTAGACCTTTATCACATGCATGATTTACAAATATTTTCTCCCATTCTGTGAGTGGTCTTCACTTTCTTGCTAATGTTTTCTTGATATACAAACTTAAATTTTTGATGAAGTCAAATTTATTTTTTCTGTTGTGGATTGTGATTTTGGTGTCTAAGAATTCATCGCCAAATCTAAGGTCATAAGAATTGATGAAAACCAAATGCTGTACTTTGAGTAAAACATAGCAGCAGGATTAGTTTATTACAAGAGTTTCAACCTGCAAGCCAAGCAACACGAGGCTGTGGGAGCAGTGAGTTCTGAGTTGCTCACAGACTAAATGGTTTTTATTGGGTAAATGAAGAAGTAATTTGGCTTTTTCAGCTGATTTTGCCTAGTGGTCTTCCTTATTTGGATCAGGGTAGTTGAGTCAGGGGAACAAGGAAGTCTGAAGATGGCATGAACAGACTTGGTCTTTGGGGATTGACTGGTGTCTTCAGCTGATTTCTGAGAAGAGCTGCAAATTCCTCCAACTTACATTAGGTAAGGCTAAGTTTTGTTTTTCTTTATTGCATGTGTGTTGTCCAACTCCATTTTGTCCCCAATACAAGTGACTCCATTTTCGTTTTGGTTCTACAGAATTTACCCGTTTTCTTCTAAGAGTTTTACAGTTTTAGCGCTTATATTTAAGTCATTGATCCATTTTGAGTTAATTTTTGTATACATTGTATGGTAGGCATTCTATTTCATTCTTTTGCATGTTGTCCCAGAACCATCTGTTGAAGAGAATAATCTTATCCCCAGTGAATGGACTTGACATCCTTGTCAAAACTCAATTTGCCGTAGATGTATGGGTTTTTTGGGGGGACTGCTAATTCTGTTCCACTGATCTATAAGTCTGTCCTGTGCCAGTGCCACACTGTAGCTTTGTACTCATGTTGAAATTGGGAGGTGTTAAGTCCTACAGTTTTTGTTCTTCTTTTCCAATATTGTTTTGGCTATTTAAGCCCCCTTGCAATTTTGTATTAATTTGAGGATCAGCTTTTTCCATTTTTGCAAAAGAGGCACCTGGGATTTTAATAGGGATTGTGTTGAATTAATAGATCACTTTGAGAAGTATTGTTGTCTTAAAATATTAAGTCCTCCAATCCATGAACATGGTGTCTTTCCATTTATTTAGGTCTTCTATAATTTCTTTTAGCAATCTTCCGTAGTTTTCAGTATACAAGTCTTTTGTCTCCTTAGTTAATTTATTCCTATGACTTTTTTTTTTTTGAATGCTATCTTAGTTTGCTCGGGGCTGCTGTAACAAAATGCCACAGACTGGGTGCCTTAAACAACAGAAATTTCTTTCTCACAGTCCTGGAACCTGGAAATTCCAAGATCAAGGTGCTGACAGATTTGGTTTCTGGTAAGAGTTCTCTTCCTGGCTTGTTGACAGCTGCATTCTCTCGGTGTCCACATAGTGGTGAAAGAGAAAAGGATTTCTGGTGTCTCTTCTTATTAGAATACTAGGCCTTCTCTCCAAAAACAAGCATGTTGGAGGATAGGGCTCCAACATATGAATTTTGGGGGAACGTAATTCGGTCTAGAGCAAATGCTATTGTAAATGAAATTGCTACTTAATTTCCTTTTCCAGTTATTCATTGTTGGTGTATCAAAAAGCAACTGATTTTTGAGTATTGATTTGTACTTTGAAAACTTGCCAGATTTGTTTTTAGTGCTAACAGGTGTGTGTGTGTGTGTGTGCGTGTGCGTGTGTGTGCGCGCGCTCGCGTGCGTGCATGCATGTTTTATGTAGGTTTCTGTATATAGGATCATGTCATCTGTTAACTGAGATAGTTTTACTAATTCCTTTCAATTTGGTTGCCTTTTATTGCCTTTCCTTGCCTAATTGCTCTGGCTAGAGTCATTCCTTCATTTTAAGGAACTGGTTCACGCAGTTGTAGAGGCTGACAAGTGTGAAATCCGTAGGGCAGGCTGGTAGGATGAAAACATCCTAGCTTCTCTTCCAGTTCCCTTGTCCTGTTCCTCCCTCCCTCAATTGATAACCATTATAGTTTAGCTTTTTTTTTCTTTATTCTGCCATTTTAACATAGTATACAGTATAATATGGATATAGATAAATATTTGTGTCTCCTATTACTAATACTAATGGAAACTAATAAATAAAGAGATGGAATTAAGCATTTATCCTGTTTTTGTAATTCACAGTGCCTCAAGGGATTCAATTAATAAATGAGTGGAAATTTCTTTTTAAAGAAGAATAAAAGCTAATAAATGCAGAAAGATTGATAGATTTTTTTCACCATTTTGAAACTCCAAATGATTTAAGGCATCTACGTATTGATTGACTCACATCACTTAAAGAGAAACGACAAGACACTACATTCCTCCTGACAGCTGTACATAGAACTAGCTAGGAAGGAGTCTTGAAAAAAGTTCAGTCATGCCTCTTTGTATCTAACTAGTTATTTACCCCCCCCAAAAAAGACAAAGGAACATGTTAAATGACATTACAGTCAGCAAGATCCAGAGTACAGGAAATTCTACAGTATATATAATAGTGTTTCCTCACAAATGTATCAAATGGAAAAGAGAGAGGGATGGGAGAACCTACAGATTAAAGAAATTGTTGAAAAAACTACAAAAATCGAGAATATAGAAATTTGAACACTGATTACATATTCAAAAACATTAAGGAATTACTGCTATTTTTCAGTTGTGATAATGGTACTGTGGCTTTTTTTTTAAAGGAATCTTTATTCTTTAAAGATATAGCCTGCAGGGATAAATATGGAAATGTTTATAGATGAAAAGTTATGTTTCAGGTGTGCTTCCAAATAATTTGTAAGGATAAGAGTGGGGAAATGGGTGTGGGTTTAGGTAAATCAGCATTAGCCATGAATTGATCATTGTTGAAGCTGGTGGGTGGGAGGCCATTGCATCCTTTTTTTCTACTTTTGTGCATCTTTGAAAATTTTCAGAATATTTATTATGGGCCCACCTTAGATACCTTATTTCTCTCCCTATAGTCAACCACTGTTAACAGTATGTTTATTTAACTTTCCACTACTTCTCTGTGTGTATACAAGTCTTTATGTGTGTGTAGGCATAATCATGGATATATATCTTTTTGATTTTCATATGAATGGAAAAAGAGCATACATGTCTATATGGTTTTCCTTCTTGACAATTGGAAATCTTTTCATATCCACACACACAGATGTACCACATCTGTCTTGCATGTGCAGTCATTCTGTTGGATGATTATACCATAGTTTGTTTAAGCAAGGCTTCTATTGTGGACATGTACATAGTTCCTATTACATAGTTTTGCTATTACAAAGAGTAGTATACTGAATATCTTTATATATAACTTTTTCCTCCCATGTGAGAGTCTATCTGTAGAATATATTGTTAGTAGAAGTAGTAGAATTCCTGCATCCAAGGGTTTAGCACTTAAAATTTTGCTACATCATACTGTTGCAGAGTGTTTCTTTAAGAATTTATATCAACACTTCCGAGAGTATCTCTTTCTTCTGTCACTGAAACTGTGTATTATTAAACTCCTTGATCCTGCCAGGCCATGTGAAAGTATGATTTTGTTCAATTTCACATTTCTTTAATTGTGAGTGAAGATGAACATCTTTTCATGCATTTATAACCTCCCTTCCACCTCCCCACCTTATGTTGCCTTACGTGTTTCTGCTTAAGTGTCATAGTGAGAGAGAATCACTAACCTTTCTTCCCTACTATCCTTCTATGCCTGGGGTCAGTGCTCCAGCTCTGGACTCCTTGACTTCCTGTGTCTTCTTCTGTCAGCACTTACACTGGAAAGTAACCATCTTTCTCCTTTGCTGGATCTTGAGCACCCTAAGGTTAAGACCATATTTCTTAAGTCTGCTTCGAGCATCTGGCAGGTTGTTTGGTACTGAGAAGTGCCTGATAAAAAGAATCAACTAGTAAAAGGTTGATAAACTGCCTTATACCATTAACCTTCAAATTATCACAATAGCAGCAAAAACTCATTTGTTGTTTACACTAAGTAATTCATTTAATCCTCATAGGAACCATACAAGGTTTTTTAATCCCCATTCTATAGATAGAAAACTGAGGCTGATACTTAGCAGAACTGGGTTTTGAGTCTCCAGGCTGTTGACTTTGGAGATAATGATCTTAATTACAAAAGTTATACCTCTACCCATAGAATAATGTTTATTGAGCACAATTCTCAATGCTTGATATGTATCCTTTCCTATAATTCTCACAGCCCTGTGAGTTATTAAATAGTACCTAACAGTGACAGACTCTCTCCTTGACCAAACGTTAGTCAGACTCCTCTGAGCCCTCCTCTCCACTAGGCCTTGACCTTGCTCTCTCCTGCCACCCCCTTCCACTTGCTGTCCTTACATTTCACAGTTTTAGCAAGAATCTTGCTAAGTCATTTTAGAGAGAATCCTTGACCCTTGACTTTTGGATGACTCTGGTCTACCTTCAGCAAGAATCTTGTTAAGTTGGTTTAGCAAGAATTCTCTTATTTTTGATGTCTCCTCTTAGTAATTTTCCATTCCATGACCACTCCCTCTCACAGTCTGCTCCTTGGTGATAAATCCCCACTTTTTCTTACTGTGTTTGGGGTTGAGCCCCGTCTCTGTCCCCTGTTGTGAGTCTTGACACCTACACCTATTAGAGTAATCCAGAATGAAGTCTGCTTTACAGTTTTAACAAGTGTCTGAATGACTTTTTCTTTAATGACAGTTATTGAGCAAGTACCATGCCTTGTTCTAAGGGCTTTACATTTAACATTCACAACAGCTATGGGGGAAAGTGCTTTTATTATTCCCACCTTGCAGACGAAGAAGATGAGACTTGAAAGAATTTAAGTAAATTGTCCAGGTCACACAGCTAAGAGAATCCCAGGGCTGTGAGTGAGTCTCTGCATCGTGCTTTCTACAAATGCTCTTTCCCTTCCACCAGTGACCAGCAGTGGTGGTGCTGGAGGTGTGTCCATATCTGGCTATTTGGTACTTGTGATGTAGGTTCCTCATCAGGGGCTTCACAATTCTTCCCTGGTTGCTGTCAGGGCTGCTCCCCATCCCCCCGCCCCATTAGTGTGTCCCAGATTTTAGAATTGAAGACTTGACTCTGGCTGTGTTCTGAGTGGGAATTATTTGTTGAGTGTCACTTCCTCCCTCTTTTCCAAATGCTTGGCTCCACAGCTGCTTTTCTGGCCCAGGCTGCTCCTCACAGGATTCAGGGAGAGGGGAGGATGAGTGCAGGGAGAAGGTGGCTGCAGCAGTACTGGAGGGGGACACACCTGCAGGCTTAAGGACTGCTGTCCTGCCAGTGTGCTGGCTGTGACAGTGGCAGCAGGGATGCCCAGCAGGCAGCGCCTTCTCTCCTGCCTGTCTCCCCGTTGCTTAGCTACTTTCCACACTTTCAGAACACAGATCATGCTCTATCCCTGCTGTTAAATTTTTCCAGAGAGCCCCCAGTGTCCACAAAATAATGTCTGCATCCTTACCATGATAGTAAGGCCCTCCACAGTCTGATTCCACCCATGTGTCCAGGCTGAGTCCTTCACGATAACTCCTTTTACACGCTGGTGTCTTACTAGCTGTACCCTCCTATCTCATTATGAAATACCATTTCTCTCTCTGTCTCTCACAATTGTATTTTACCTGGCATTTTCGTCTTCAGTAATTTTTCTGCTAATATTACATTGCCTTATAGGCCACATAACGTTATCACCTCTGACACTTTCTGGGATTCCCCTAGTTGGAATTAGTTTTTCTTTTTTTTTCCCCTGTATTTTAAGGCACGTATAGTTGATTGTATCCAGTTTCCAGTGTTGAAATTAGTTTTTCTCATCTCTGACATCCAGGTGCTTTATTTTGAACAAAACAGCCAGCTTTACAGTTCCTCTCAGCTTGACTAAGCTTTAGACAGGCTTTTTCCGGACTCTAGGCTCATGACTTCCCTTTTCTTAGAGCATTTACTTTGGAAAACTTGTAAATTCTTTCTTTGCCCCTTTGAGATGTAATTTTAAAAAAAAGTTCTTAACCTCCTCCGGTCCTCCAGCTACCCCTTTGAAATGTAATCGTCAAGGAAATACGCGCCTATCTCCCATTGTCTGCTGGGAGACTTGGAGCCTCACTTCCGTGGGTGCCTAGCACCAGGTTGTAAAAGTACCCCCTGTCATGAAGAGAAGAGAAAGTTTGCTTTTCCTTTGGTTAAGGCCAGTTGACACAGGTGGTCTACAACCCCCCGTCACCCCAGCTCTTAAATCCTTCCTGCTATAAACTTCTTTTCTTCAAAGGACAGAGTCAGCAGAGTGAAAAGGCAACCCATGGACTGGGAGAAAATGTTTCCAACTCATTTATCTAATAAAGTGTTAATATCTAGAATATATTTAGAACTCCTACAACTTAACAACAATAAAGCCAAGCAACTTGGTTGAAAAGTGGGCAAAGAAGGAGTTTCTGGGTTGGCGAAAGCATCCACATGCCCAGAGGGCACTCCTGTTCCATGAGGACGGAAGTTCCTGCACCTGGGAACCTTCATCCTTTGTCCTGTGTGCCTCTTCATCTGGCTGTTTGTATCCTTTATAATAAACTGGTAAATGATTTTCTGGTGATTCCTACAAGCTTATTCTTCTGGATGATCATTTGTGTCATTTTTGTCAAGAAAGATATTATTTCAAGAGACAGTTAATAAGCTATGTAAGGGATTTTTTTTTTTTTTAACACAAGAGAATGCTGTTTGGAGAGAAAGAAAATAAGATGAAGGTGATGGCGGGACCAGTGCCTCAGGTTGAGTCTGCAATAGTTTCTCAAGATGCCTGGAAAGATACCTACACTTTATTTCTGCTTTTATAAAAATTGGAAGTCAAATGAAGAATATGCAGTATGTGATAGACTGATACTTTTCATTGCTTGAGAACATGGACTATTTTCTCTCCTATATATTTAGCTGTTTTGGCTTTGAACCTTAATACTTCAATCAGTGTAATATTGAAGGAAGACTGTCTAAAGTTTTATTGAAGACTCAGCCATGTTTTCTTTTTTATTGACTGCGACAGAACTAAATATATCTTGGCAGAGAAAATATACCGCTTGCCTCTATTTGAAGTCCCCCTGCCATGGGCATAATTGACCATCAACTCTATAGAGGTCTGTAAATTTATTTGAAAGGTCTGCAAATAAGATTCGTCCACTAATAAATTCTAAGAAAGAAGCTGGAGAAAACACTGAAAAGAAGTATACTTGTATTATCACCTA